ATATTTCGATCCATTTATTTTTCAATTCTATAGATATTAGTTAAAATAAAACATTGTCTATACTATATGTCACCATAAGTTTTACTAAAAAAAAATTAAAAACAAAATCGCTAAATTGTTTTTATTTTTTAAAATACAATTATATTTTATTTGTTATTAATTTAATTAATCAATTTAAATTTTATTTTAATCAATTTAAATTTTTAAAACATAATACTTTTTTTTAAAAAAAATGATGAAAAATAATACAAATTACAACAAATAAAGTTATGATTTTTCAAAAAATATTTCATTACAAATTTTTTAAAACAAACATGTCATTTTTATTTTTAAATTAGTTATATTTATCTTTCATTTTAATCTAAACTTTAAAATCTTATCTAAATGAATTTCCATGTTTCATTAGCTACTTATTTATTTAAATTTAAAATACATCTACAATATATTTTGAATAATACTTGCGTGAATTACCATTTACAATTAACGTGTGATTAGTTGATAACATTATCCCTTAAACATGTGACGATAAGTTTGTTATATTTTACTAAAAAATGCTAGAGTGTGAACTGATTTAAATTATGTGCAGTTAATTTTGTTAATTATGCAGCCCATGTTAAGAAAATAATACGAAATAGGAAAATATAAGTATTTAATAAATTTAGAATATAAAAATAATTAGTTTTAAAAATATAAGAAAATATTTTTTAAAAGTTTTTTAAGATGAAAGGTGGAAAGCAAATCCATATTAAAAATAGTATTTGAATGCTATTAATTTCTTGGAAGTAAGAAGGCGTGCAAAAATGGAGTATTTTATATCTCATTACTCCCCTTTCCCCAGCAAAAGAAAATATATTAATTTTACATAAACCCCCACCAAGCAGACCAACTATATTTCATCACTTCATTAATTCTCTATATATTTCTTTATAGGAAGTGTACACGGTGGGCGAAAATGAGAAGAGGAATTGGAAAAACCTAGGAAGGGAGAAATACCCTAAGCCACTAATCTTCCACGATGGAAGATTAGCACTAAAACCCACACCCCTAACCACTCTAGCCATCTTAATGTGGCTCCCATTCGGCTTCACCCTCTCCTTGATTAGGATCATAACGGCCCTCACACTCCCACAAAACATCTCAATACCCATGTTGGCGTTTAGTGGGCTTCGTCCCACAACCTCAAGGCCCAAAGCCCAAAAACTCAAGGCGAAGGGCAATCTGTATGCATGCAACCACAGAACGTTACTCGACCCTCTCTCTATATCCTTCGCGTTGAAGAGAGACTTAATGGCCGTTACCTACAGTTTAAGCAAAGTGTCCGAGATGCTAGCACCCATAAAAACGGTGCGTTTGACGCGGAACCGAAGCGAAGACGCTAAGAAGATGAAGCGGTTGCTGAAGCAAGGTGACCTAGTTGTGTGCCCCGAAGGAACCACGTGTAGAGAGCCATATTTATTAAGGTTCAGCCCTTTGTTTTCGGAAGTGTGCGATGAAATTGTCCCTGTTGCTATTGATAGCCACGTGACTATGTTCCACGGCTCCACCGCGGGGGGTTTTAAGTGCTTCGACCCCTTTTTCTTCCTCATGAATCCAACGCCGTCTTACACCGTTAGGTTGCTAGAGAAAGTGTCACCTTCTTCGGTACTTGCAACCACTAATAATACTTTTAACTTGGACGCCAGGTTTGAAGTGGCAAATCACGTGCAAACGCAGATTGGCAAGGCCCTCGGTTTTCAATGCACACAACTTAATAGAAGAGACAAGTACTTGACTTTGGCCGGTAATGAAGGTGCTTAGTTTCTATTTCTACCACAAAGACGTACTATACTAATATAATAAATATTAATTACCCTTTCAGTTTTTAATAATGTATGTTGATCATACACCAAACGCTATTGCTGTCACTTGTGAGTTGTGAGTTGTGAGTTGTGAGGGAAAATAGATACTATGGGCAAGAGAAATGCCGCAAAAATTACTTTGCTTCATCTTGTCCTTATTATATTTTCGCCATTTTTTTTTCTTCGTTTCTGTGTTGTGACATTTTTTTATTTATATTTTTTATGATTCTATGTTGTAATATAGTAAAGCATTATTGATTCATTCATATCTTCATGTTAAGCTAAGCTATATAGATTCATTTATAAAGCGTATATCTTATGGAAACTGATGATCTCTAGGCCCGCATGACAGTTAATCTCTTTAAATTCCCTCATTATTCCTCCAGCAAATTTGATTTGATATGGCAGTGTTTAAAATCGAATTATAAATGAAGTGGGAGATGCTCCAAAATTTTAACTCTCCTCATCATTGTTGGTGGAGTAATTAATATATATATATATATACTATACTAAAGAGAATTTATAATTATCCTTGTAAACATATTCTTTTTTATAATTAGTCACGGAGTGTTGGGCAGAGAAGTTGCAATAGTACATATATTGAGACGTGTGATTTTCATTACGATTATTTTTATAATATTTTTTTTTATTTTTATTAAGAAAAAAAATCCAAAAGCTATGCGATTAATTTGCAAATTAACGACATGATGTATGGCTTTGAATTTAAATGATTATAATAGCCATTGCTGGGAATTTAAAAAAATCTGGTATGTTCATAAATGTGACACGCACTTGAATCGCATTTGTCATAACATAGAGGAAGCATTGTTTCATCAAAGATTGCGTTTTTTCAAATGATAATACAGGGAAAAAACTAGTACGGTAACAAAAAAGATAAAATTAAAATGGTAGAAACGGGACTCAAATGAATGACCTGTCCCCATCCCTATAGTAACTTTTTTTATTCTCCGCATGTACACCATTAACATGTTGTTTATCAGTCCGACATAGCATATGAGTTTAGCCATGACATAGCATGTTGCATCCCGCATAGTAAGACAAAGAGTTCAGCCTTTAAATTCACCGTAAAAGCCCATAATCCACCGTCTTATAATAAAACGGATCAAGATCGTCTACAGTTAAAAAAGAACTACACACCGCATAGTAAGACAAAGAGTTCAGCCTTTAAATTCACCGTAAAAGCCCATAATCCACCGTCTTATAATAAAACGGATCAAGATCGTCTACAGTTAAAAAAGAACTACACACGGTGCAGTTACAGATTGCACCATCATATTTTCAAAAAAATATTTTATAACATAATAAAAGAAAAAATTGACGGATGAGATTCATGCAATTTTCAAACTGTAGAGGATAAAATCCATAATAAAACAATGGATCCTTATTCTCATATATTAGTAGAAAAAGAAAAAGAAAAAAAATGTAAACAATAATGGAATGCAATTTAAGTTTTTTTTTTTTTTTACTTATTCATATTTATATCTATATTTTTAAAATTCATGATATGAAATAAATTAAATGAAATTAATTTGCATCTAAATTTTTAATTTTAACCCATGAATTATAAAGATAACTCGATTGTATGCGAATGCAACAATGTTTTTTAAGGGTAATTCAAAAGTATCTAAAGACCATATTCAATAAGTATACACCAGTAATAGAGTAATTGATTTAAGTTACAAGTTAATAAGATATTTTATATATTAAAATATTCAAAATTAAAATTGATAAATGTATATATTTTTTTATCTTTATATTTAAAATTACTTATTATATAAATAGGTTATTTAAATATATTATATGAATTTAGAATAAAAAATGACTATAAATATATAAGAACACAAGTAATAAGTTACATGTCACTAAAAATATTTTTGTATAGTATAGAGATTCGTATTTAATATATTAAAAAAATTCTTATAAAAAACTTCTAAAAACATTTTTTATACGGTATAAAAATTCGTATTTAATATATATATATATATATATATAATTTGATAAAATAATATTATTTGAAAATATTAATAATTAAATTAATTTATAAAATAAAATTTTATCGTATTTAAGAATGATAATTTTATTTTACTTGAAAATTATTATTTTAGTATAAAAATGATCGCACTATGATAAAAGTAAGAAACCCTATCAATGAATTATATACACCTATATTAAAAATTCACTAAAAAAATAAATTTAAATTTTGAATGTTCATTGTAAAAGGTGGTTATTCTTTATTGTTTATTTTTTTATGTGATTAATGTTTATTAACTATTTTATTAATAAGGAAATTAGGTGAAGAAATTTTATGGTTTTTACGATTACAAGACATCATATATTGATAGGTGTTATACAAACCTATGTATAATTGATATTTATAACTCAAATCTTTAAAGTTACTATTGATTTAACGTGTTTATTAAAATTTATTTTTAAATGTATTAACATATATTTTTTATTTTTTATTTTATTATTAAAAAATTTATTCCTTATTCATTTTGATCCTTTAATTTTAAAATTTAAGTTAGTATTGTTCTTTGATTGTTCTTGATCTTGGGACGTGATTTTGAATTTTTTTATAAATGATTTAAGATAAAAACTTGTTTTATTAAATTTTTTTATTATATTAAATAAGCAGATAAGGTTAACTTAACATTTTTACTACATTTAAATTATAATTTTACTTCAGAAAAGTTAGTTTCTAACTTTTCCATAAGAATAGTTTTCTGGAACAATTTATGTAAAATCTATTTTTGAGAAACAATATTTTTTATGAATGTTATTTTTTAAATAATAAATCAAAAGTGAAAAATTAATATTTCCAAAAAAAATAATTCCTATGTACCAAACACCCCCTAAATTTAATTATACAAAAATAATGAATTCAACTAATGTTCAAAAATAAATAAAAATGACTCTTTTGATCGGTAATGAATTGAAAATTTAATGTTATATTATTTTTCTAATTATTTATGTGTTCAACTTTTACATAATTTTTATCATGTCGAATATTTTCTTTATTCAAACACAAATTCAATTTTTTTATATAAGTTAATCTAATGAAATAAATTTTACTTATTTAATCATTCATAAAGAGTTCAGATTTATGTTTTAAAATTGAAAACATCCACTATTTCAGAAATATATTAACTCAAATTTTAAATTTAGATGATTAAAATAGATATTTTAAAAGATAATAAGGAACTAAAAATAATTTCAATAATAAGAAAAAAGATTAAAAAAAGTTTATTTTAGCCTAAATTTAAATGACCAAAATAAATTTTTTCAAAAGATATAAAACTAAAATATATTTTAATGGTGAGATAAAGGACAAAAAAAATATCTTAAAAATAAAAGACCAAAATTGTAACAATCTCATAGGTCATACGCTCATATAACATCACAACAACATAGCGACATATATCATTTATCCTAAAATTCCATACAAAGTATAATTTAGAGATCATGCATATGTAGTATGTATATAGTTGAGATTTCAATAATCATTCGAAAAACATAATTTTTGGTCATTAAAAATAAAAAAAAAATCCCTTATGAAATTTAAAATTTCAGAAATATACAAATACAAAGACTTAAACATCAATTGAAGAAAAAATCATAAGTTAGCCTAAACAACTATATACAAGCTAAGAGATTGATATCTTTCTCCCTTTGCTATAGACTAAATCCATGTTAAACTTGTATGCTTCCATGTCAAAAACATGACCATTGCAATCAACACATAAACAACATGGTAAACTTGATATAAAAGAAATACCACACATAAACTTAGTATCATCATCGAGTATAGTACAATTTGAGTATAAGTTTACAATGATATTAGTATGTAAAACCAAATCCTCGATAAATTTTGCATGCCACCTATCTCCCAAGATACTATATGCCCATCTAATACTAGGTTAGGATGTGTCTCTTGTGACCACTCACGACTTATATGCTAACTTAACATTTAATTTTTCTTAAATCAAGACACAATCATTAATAATGAGTGTAAAACAATTTATACTGCTTTTACAACATGTTTAAATGAGAAACATTTATTATAAAAAAAAAAGACATGTTTACAACTTTTAAAAAGTACGTTTCAAAATTATATTTTTGTTTTATGAAAATATATATTTTTCTCTTCAAACTTAAAGGTGAGTGCTAAAATATCTAAAAATCCTTTTAGAAAGAGTATAAATAGTTATGGTTTTAGAAGTATATTATTTATTCTTTCCATAAATAAAACTCAAAAACAAATTTTTCTTTTATAAAATACTTTAAAGGAAAAAGATATTTAAGAAAAAAAAAAGTGCACTATTAACCGACGGATGTGTATCTAACAAAAGGCATCTTCAATATATTTTTTGGGGTGTGCTCTTGGTTATAAAGTTGCAGTGCAGGACCGTTTAACCCAACAAAGAAGGGCCCGGTTGAGAAGTCACATATTGGGCTAAACTAAGTGGGCCGAGTGAATACCCAATCCAATTCACTTAAAAGTGGGAATAAAAAAAATGAAAAAGAGGGAGGCGGAATGGTAATTATAGAAGCTTCATCTTCCTTACTGATTAGGTCTGGTCGGTTTTATAATTACAATTGCACAAAAGCATTGTTTATTGCTTAGCTCAGCCCTAGCACCTTCAGCCACCAATTTGTTTGGATCGGGTTTGGGGGATTAGGGTTTTGATTTTGATGGGTACGGAGAGAAAGAGGAAGGTGAGTTTGTTCGATGTGGTAGACGACTCTGTGGCCAAGATGGCGAAAACCAATGGCGGCGCCAATAACAGCGTTGTTAACGCTCTCATCAATCGCTGGAACGCAAAGCCTTACTCCCAACGCTACTTCGACATTTTGGAGAAGAGGAAAACCCTCCCCGTTTGGCACCAGAAAGACGACTTTTTGAAGGTCCTCAAAGATAACCAGACTTTGATTCTCGTCGGTGAAACTGGTAGTGGCAAAACCACTCAGGTTTGTTCAACTTGTGTTATTTGTGTTCTCCTATGATGTTTTGCAGTGTGTTTTATGTCTTCTTTTTTTCCCATTTGGATACGCCAATATAATCTAGGTTTTCTGTGTGTGTATGTATGTCTCTAATTCGTTAAAGTTTTGTTTATTTATTTATTTTGGGGGCGCAGATTCCTCAGTTTGTTTTGGATGCTGTCGAATTAGAGACACCCGATAAACGTAAGAAGATGATGATTGCGTGCACTCAGCCTCGGAGAGTGGCTGCGATGTCTGTTTCGCGTCGTGTGGCCGAGGAGATGGATGTAACTATTGGCGAAGAGGTTGGTTACAGTATCAGATTTGAAGACTGCAGTAGTGCAAGGACGGTTTTGAAGTATGTTTGGTTTTGCTATTATCAATTCTAAGCTTGATATGACTCGTCTATAGTTTTTTTGTCTGTGTTGTTTGGTTTAGTCTCAAGTGGAGTGCTTTGTTTTACAGGTATCTTACAGATGGTATGCTCTTAAGAGAAGCAATGACAGATCCGCTTTTGGAACGATACAAGGTTATTATTCTTGATGAGGCTCATGAGAGGACTTTGGCCACGGATGTGCTGTTTGGCCTACTGAAGGAAGTGCTTAAAAATAGACCTGACATGAAGTTGGTTGTTATGAGTGCGACTCTTGAGGCTGAAAAGTTTCAGGGCTATTTTTTTGGTGCCCCTCTCATGAAAGTTCCTGGAAGGCTACATCCTGTTGAAATTTTTTATACTCAGGAACCTGAAAGGGATTACTTGGAGGCTGGCATTAGGACAGTGGTACAGATACACATGTGTGAGCCTCCTGGTGATATACTTGTGTTTCTGACCGGAGAGGAAGAGATAGAAGATGCTTGCCGCAAAATAAATAAAGAAATTGCTAATCTGGGAGATCAGGTGGGCCCTGTCAAAGTGGTACCCCTGTATTCTACCCTTCCTCCAGCTATGCAGCAGAAGATTTTTGAGCCACCACCACCTCCACTGAAAGAGGGTGGGCCACCTGGAAGGAAGATTGTGGTATCAACAAACATAGCAGAAACTTCCTTGACAATTGATGGCATTGTTTATGTCATTGATCCCGGTTTTGCTAAGCAGAAGGTTTATAACCCACGAGTTCGTGTGGAGTCTTTGTTAGTATCACCAATATCAAAAGCTAGTGCACATCAGAGATCAGGGCGTGCCGGAAGAACTCAACCAGGGAAATGCTTTAGACTTTACACCGAGAAAAGTTTCAATAATGATCTTCAGCCTCAGACCTATCCTGAAATTTTAAGATCAAATCTTGCCAACACAGTTCTTACTTTGAAGAAACTGGGGATCGATGATTTAGTGCATTTTGATTTCATGGACCCTCCTGCTCCTGAGACCTTAATGCGTGCATTGGAAGTGTTGAATTACCTGGGTGCGCTGGATGACGAAGGTAACCTAACAAAACTGGGTGAGATTATGAGTGAATTTCCCTTGGACCCACAGATGTCAAAGATGCTCGTTGTTAGTCCCGAATTCAACTGTTCAAATGAGATTCTGTCAGTTTCTGCCATGCTCTCAGGTATTATTCTTCTATTTTGTTGCTTTTTTGTGTCTGTCCAGTTTCCCCGCATAATGCTAAGGAAGTGTAGTTCTGCTGGGATCCATTTTGAAATGGACTCCCTGCTGTTGTGCATGTGCAAGATGATAATCTTGTGAATATGATGGGGGATGTTTGACTGCTTTCATGTGTGCTTAGTTTGCACATGAAAGTGGTCAGTCGAGTGTGTCCTGTTAGGTTGTCATCAGCAACTGTCTTCTCTGGGTTCCATGCCCCCGGTTGGCATGCACCATAGGATTCTAAGTAAGTGCTGATGCATTAGTTGCAGTTTCTCAGTATAATCTCATGAAGCAAATGGTGTGGTCTCGCCTCTATGCATCTGCTGACCTACCGTGGGCCTCCTCTGTGATAATCAATTTCTTTCTTTAGTACCCAATTGCTTTGTCCGGCCTAGGGAGGCACAAAAAGCTGCGGATGAAGCTAAAGCTAGGTTTGGGCACATTGACGGAGATCATCTCACTCTCTTGAATGTCTATCATGCATACAAGCAAAATAGTAAGTAGTTATTTCTACTATCCCCTTTTTTTTCTTTTTAATAATAATAGTTTGTTAAATTATTGAATTTTAATATTAACTGTATTTTTTGTAAATGTTTTTTCAGATGAGGATCCCTCTTGGTGCTATGATAATTTTGTTAATCATAGGGCATTGAAATCAGCTGATAATGTTAGACAACAATTAGTGCGGATCATGTCCCGGTTTAATCTGAAGCTATGCAGCACTGACTTTAATAGCCGTGACTACTATGTCAACATACGAAAAGCTATGCTAGCTGGGTATTTCATGCAGGTAGCTCATCTGGAGCGTACTGGGCACTACTTGACAGTGAAAGACAACCAGGTTTGTTAAGACTTAAGATGAACTGCTTTTGTCTTCATCGTTTGTCTTTTATTTGTATTATTATTGGTAGAGTTCGACTGTCAGCTATAGTATTGTATTTTTATGGTTTCTAATGTTTCTGTTCTGTTTGTAGGTGGTGCATTTGCATCCATCTAATTGTCTAGACCACAAACCTGAATGGGTTATTTATAATGAATATGTTCTTACAAGTCGGAATTTTATTCGTACTGTTACAGACATACGAGGGGAATGGTAAGATTTTTCTTTGTATGTAGATTATTGATTATGGATGTTTATATCAAGATAGAAAGTCTATGCTAGTTATGTGTGATGTTATGGGAAAGCCTGAGGAAAGTGGGAAATTGTGTTCAATTATAATGGTATCTGCATGATGAAAAACGTTTGAATATGGTGAAGTACTCTGGGAGATGCAATTTATGACTCTGAATTACATCCCTAGGTTTTTGCAGGGATAAGAGTTGGGGGAGGCAGTTGAATTGTCAAGTAGTGTTGTGTTTTTTATTTGATTTCGGGTTATCTAGTGCTCCTAGTTCTGAATTCGCTACTATGCATTTCTCATCTTAAACAGGTTGGTTGATATAGCACCACATTACTATGATTTGTCTAATTTTCCACAATGCGAGGCAAAGCGTGTTCTTGAGAAACTTTACAAGAAGCGAGAGAAGGAAAAGGAGGAAGCCAGGAGCCGCAGATGAAGTCCTTGCAATCCACTATTTTTGCCTTTGGATTTGGATTGGATATTTCGTCTTCTGCAGCTGAGATCATGATTCCTCGTGGCTGTTGCCTTGTGCTACCCTTTATTATTATTACATCTGAAAGGATTACTGATTGTCGGTAGTTTAGTTAAAAATGATTTAGTTTCTTGTACCATTGATAGAGTAATAGTGAACATTTTTTTATCACCCTCCATCTTCTGTTGTACCTTTAGTGCAAATTTGTTTCTGGTCGTTAGTCTCGTTAAACGATAGATACTCATATAAAATGCGCGTCCGCCGGATTTCAATATTTGACTGATAGAATGATATGATACATACTTAAGGTGGGAGTGTTTATTGTCACACATCTATATTTATCTTTTAACTAATTTTTTGCTACTAGTCTCGTAACTTGGACATGCATGCAATGTTATCTATACAGCTGTAAGTTTTGTTGCAATATATGATTTCCGTTAAACTGAACTCTCGAAGTTTTTACAAAAAACTTTATGCCCATTACGGGGTTGAAATGAAATTGCCTTTGTTTTTTTGAAGTTGTTATTTAATTTATTTATCAATATATTTGACATCAAAAACATGAGTTCTGAAACATTTTGATATAAAACTTTAGTATTAAATATAACTACTCATGAAAATAATAGTTTTGCAGCTTGTTTCCGGTATGGTAGTCTAGATGATTTCATTTCAGAGGTCTCGTGATGATGATGCTCGTACCAAAAAATAAAAGTTCTCATGATGCTTATGTTTTTTATTTGCAAAACTTGAATTAAAGATGTTCTAAAGGAAGTAAATCTGTTATTTCTTTCTTTGGTTTGCCCAAATATCCTTAGATATATGAAGATTCAAAGAAATATACTTTTTTTCCCTACATTAAACATGAAGAATGAAATCTTCATCGCATACTTGGGAGACATTTATCTGACAATCATATTGATCCATGTCGTTAATTCCTTAACTCTTTGAACAAACATGTACTAACAACTAGTCATTAGAAAGTTGAATTCACGTTGCATCTATAAATTTCAAAATTTTAAAAAATTTAACATGAAGAAATTTATTGACTTAATTTTTTTTTTATTTTAATATATTTGGATAAAACAATTCAAACTTTCTATTTAGATAAAGTAAGTCAATATTCGTCGTATGGAAATTTCATCTTATATGTTATTTAAAATTCCATTTTATTTTGAAAAAAAAAATCTCTACAAAATTTTCTTAATCTTTTTTAAAATTTTCTATGAATTTGGTACCAAACAAATCATTTTATTTAGTTATATTTTAAATTCAATTAAAATTAGGTACTAGATGCTTCTGCACTAGCCACACAGTACAGTTGACAATTAGGTGCTAGACAGTTCTGCACAAGCCACACAGTACCCTAACAAAACAAACCACAGCATTACCGGCTATGGACAACATATGTGATTATGTGGGAGTTTGGGAACGGGAACAACCGGTACTATTATCCTCGACAGTTTCATGAACCTCAAACTTTATGCTTATCTCCACTCAAACTTCGGTATACTTCATCTATTTCAACCTGTCATAGTGTCACCAATTTGTGAGGAACTGCTACATGTATTAACAACTTAAACAGGGTTGCAAAGACTAAAGAGAGCAAGGAAGAATTACTTGATAATACTTGAGCATATTATTTCTTCTCTTCTTCATTGTTGAAGTCACCAAGTCTATTTCCATGTCAAATGGTTGCGGCTCTAATATCACCCCTTTGATATATTCAAAGCCCTTCAGCTATTACGTTGAAAGACACAAGTTACAAAGGAAAAAAAAAAGCATTGGAGCACCAAAAACTGTAAATAGAACACAAGCGTGAAGGAATAAGTAGTCCATTCATAGCATGATATTATTTCAACATCAACATTTGTTACCTTGTTTCTATCAGCAGTCATCTTGAGTTCAGATAACACATGTTTCTTGAATTGGTCTAGAGAACATAGTTCTAAGAAAGGAGCCATGTAACCATTTGAAAATGCCCACTTCTTGGTAATTTCTTCATTTGGAACCACTACTGCAACCAGCGCTGACCTGAAGCTATTCCCATAAACCCATACCTTGCAGAAGAAAGCCAAAAAAGAAAAGAAAAGAAAAGAAAAATCAAAAACCTACTAAGAGTATAATTAAGCAGCGAAAATTGTAGGCATCAACAGTACTGAATTCATGAAGATGCTTACATCTTCAACAATTGGAGTGATTCCATAAACATTTTCCAAATGCTCAAGAGCAATATACTCTCCTTGAGAAAGCTTTATAAGATTTTTCTTCCTGTCAATAATCTTTACAACACCATTAGGTTGCAGTTCTGCTATATCCCCTGAGGAAACCAGGTACAATCAAATCAATCCATATAATTATTTTTAAGAAAAAGTGAATATTCAAAACAAAAGAAAAAGAAGTTTGGAGGTAGAAAAGACAGATCAACCTGTGTGAAACCATCCATCTCTTATGGCATCCCTTGTTAACTCGGGGTTTTTGTAGTAGCTAGTAAAAACAGATTTGCCTCTCACACATATCTCACCACATGAAGGACTTCCAAGAGGGTTGTACCCCATCTCTGGAACCTCCTCCAGCCGTATTTCATTGTATACAGATACAGAACCAACAGTACCAAGCATGCACATTTCATCAAGAAAGGCAAGAGTAGTTGACCCACAAGTTTCAGTCAAACCTGAATTAACCATAATGTCAACATTTAGAGCGTTAGTAATACACTTACTTCCATAAAATTATGAGTGGGGCACATTAAATAAAAACTACAAAATTTTATGGTTTCTAATTAATTTCGGTCAATAATAAAGTGTTCAAATAATGTAATAGGAAGTCTGTTACTAGGATTTCATTGTATTGCATGTTTTATTTATGTCGCAAGTCCCAACAAGTATTTATGAGCAGTATAACAAGATAGTTCATTACCATAGCCTTGACATACAAAAGCACAAGAAGTTACGCGCAAGAATTCTTCCACCTCTGAGCTCAAGGGTGCACCTCCAGCTATTATTAGTCTAATACGCCCACCTAACCGAGCTTTGACCTGACTCAACCGGGTGGGGAAGAGAAGGGTGAAATTTTAGTGAAAGTTTACCATGAGTAAAAAAAAAAAAGTCTAGTTTTTACAAAGATAGATGGCATGAATTGGGAAATTGGCATAAAAATATGGAAAATAGTAGTTTCAAGATGCAGGTTGTAAAATGTAAAGATTAGATACAACCTTTCTGAAAGCTAACAGATCTGCTAAAGGTGATGCATTACTGTGTTTATATCCTTTGTTCATCCAGGCAAGTTTGCTGTATCAAAAATAGCAAAATTACATGAATACAAAATCCATGCCTTCATTAAAAAATACTGAAAATTATATAACCATGGAATATCAACTTACTATTTGTAAAGCATGCCAAAAACTGTTCTCCTCACTGGATTGAGTTCTTCCACTGATTTTTTGATACCTGAAACGGTTGGTCTATGATGAGTTTTATACTTAATTCATATAAAAAATTTGTTTTGTTTCTGATGTGTGAACTTGCCTTCATGAATTTTTTCAAAAACTCGGGGAACCCCGGCAAAAAACGTTGGTTTCAATTCCATTAGATCACCCGCCAACGCATTTAGATCCTTCACGTAAGAGATTCCAAAAATTCATAAGATTTTAGAGCAAGAAAAATATTTCAGAACCCAATTAATGTCCAAAAGTAGGACACAATATGTATACATAAACTTCATAATTTTTATATATAATGACTCTTAAAAAATCAATTATATCTCTTAAAAGTTAAAATATTAAGTAATTCTTATGAAATTAAATCTCATTATAGATTAAAATAAAAGTGTTATAAATCTTGTAATATTTATAAATAAGTTGAGTTTTTAATTTTGTTTTATAATAGGAGTGTAAGATAAAAAGAGCAATAGTTGACTTATTCTTACGATTGATCTAATACATAATTAGGTCTAAAGCAAATTTTCAGGTGAAGTTTTTTTTTAAATTAATAATAATATTTTTTGATAAAAGAATAAAAAAATTAGAGATAAATCTTTAAAAAAAATTATATTTGTAACTTTGTTTAAGATAGAATTTTTAAATAGAATTTTTACTAAAAAAATGAATTTCAAGTTATGAAACTTAAAAAAAATTATATAAATATTAATATAATTTTTTTAAGAGATACTAAAGTGAAAGTCTTATTGACTTCGTCCTTGGGCTGATCTAACTCAATCTCTTACTTCAAATTCAAGTTATGTCAGAAATGTTTTAAAGTTGTATAAAAAAAAGTATTTAAATAAAAAAAATACTTTTTAATTTTGATGATATACTTATGTTGAAAGTATATCGGACAAATGTTGCCTCAGAAATATATTATACACACCGACATGAGATTCTGTAAATGTTTTGGTATTTGATATTAAATTGAGGGGTGGTCCTTGAATATGTTTTCAGAAACGGATGGAAAATCATTAAGATTATTTACTTGGTTATACAGATGAAACTGAACAGATGTATATCAGCACTTTTGTTGTTTAAGCTATCATTTCTCTCTCATTCGAACATTTCCTTTTTCTAAGTACCATTGCCCTAACCAGCAATAATTCAATCAGCACTGTCCAAGTCTTTGTATGGATACTCCTCAGAGCATCACTCGATTTAGATTTACTATATTGTCTATTAGTCTAAAGTTTTGTTACCCTTTTATTCGCATCTATCTTCTGCATTTTCTACTCATATTCATATTATAAATCATCAGGCATATCCAAAACAGCAAAATATTCCTCTATAAACATACCCCATGGTAGTAACCCACAGATGCTCCCTTATGGAAAAAGTACTCCTCGATCGTGCGGTCAAGAATATGAGCCAATGGGAGGAAAGACAAATACACATCTTCCACAGTCATCTGTGCAAAATAAGATACACGTCTCAGAATGCTAGAAAGGGGAGTGTTAGAATCTGAAGCAAATATATAAGTACAAAAAATAACATGTAAAAGTCAACGTATAGTATTGAAATATATAACGTTTATGGGAAAAAGTTCATCCCTGAACACCATGAATAGTTTTCCCGTATACAAACAAAGTACTTTAAACTTAATAGATCAATATTGCTTAGTTGTGGTTGCTAAGAGAAAAAAGTTATCACACCACATAAATTTTGCTTAGTTATTTATGTAGTAATTGATTCAACATAGTTGAGACAGAACTTCATGTTTACAAGATATATATTGTACATCCGATTAAATTTACGAGGATTTAGGAATTATTGTTGTATCACTCTATGCAACTGAAGTAGAGGGAAAATAATATCATAAAAAATGTACCTTTTCTTCAAATTGTTCCAAGAAAAGATCCATTCCTCTTACGAATGCCGTAATGTTTTCATGGGCCAAGACTACACCCTTAGGGTCTCCACTGGTTCCACTTGTATATATTATTGTGCAGATATTACAAGGCTGAGGTGGTAAAATGTTTGATGGATTTTCTTCCCCCTGTAAGATGATAAACTGTTCAGATTGACCCGAATATAGATAAGCATGACAATTCACAGTTACAGCACTTGGGCTATATAGAGAACAGTATTGATGATATTTTATATTGAGCATCTCTGGCAATAGTTCTTACTGGGTCTTAATTATAAGTTCGGCTTCAAAGATAGAGGAGATTGAGTTAAAACTCACGGTGTAACAGTTATTGTAATTGGTTCTTAACATTATAATTTTTTTTTAGCAAGAAGTATAAAGATGTTGGTAATATATAAAAAAAAAAAGAAAAAAAAAAACTGGTGCATTATAAATATTAGTAATAGTATCCACCTATAATGATAACAAGCTATTACAGAGGAAATATTTTATTTTTGTATTAAGAACGAGTAGTGTGATAGACCAACCATGTGCAAGAACTCTTCCCATGAATATGGCTTAATTCCAATGGTGATGGCCTTGTCTTTCTCTTTCTCTGTTAATGAAGTGAAAGAGACCATCGCTGTATCCACAACAAAACTCAGTTAAATGCCTTCTGTCGCAACACATAACGTTACAGTATCCACATTTACCTTTCAGTCGTTGAGAAGATTTACAATCAGGATTCAAAAGCTGAAAATAGTACATGTACACAGTCAGAACCTCTATTTGCCTGACATGTCTCATATAAATATAAATTCATCTTATCTCAAGAAAATGACCCTTACATGTATAACCTTCTTATCTTGGACAAACACAAAATCTACTTCTCCATTATCTATAACAAAGTTTACAGCACCTGGCCCTGCATTTGGTGTATTAATTTGTCACAATTAAGTGCCATGTTTTCTTTAAAATTTGGAAAATCCAAAGAGTGGTTCTAACTTTATCATTTAAAATTTTATAGTATAGGCATAGCTCCTAATTGTAGGAAAAAACAGAGGAAACAGAGAGAATAAAGTAAATTCATTGGATTTTTTTATACCAAGGGTGTCATAGAGAGGAACACAAATCAAGCTGTGGGCGCAACAAGCCTACATTAATATAAACATGTTTGTGAATTATGTCATAGGATCATATCATGAATAATAGTTGAAAATTTGAGAACAAAATGGATAGGGAAGTGCCAAGTGCCAAACCTCCATTGCCACGATCCATTGAGGACAGTTAGCTCCATAAATTCCTATTCGACTGCCCTGTAACGGAATTTCCACGACATATATTAAGAAAATTCCCTTAAAGAGGCAAGACAAGTCCTTTTGCAAGCACTTACAGGTTCAGCACCAGATGCTCGTAAAGCAGCACCAATATGCAGAACTTCATCATAAACTTCCTCATACGTCTTCCAGACATATGGTCCTATCTACAAACAAGAAAAATAATAGTAAGAATTAAATTCCTTTATTTTTCTGGACTTGAACACATAATAAAATAAATCACCAAAAAATACCTTTCCATCAACAAATTCACGCCATCCCAACATACGGTTCTTAGGATACTTTTTGACAGCCATGCTGCATTTACAACCATCAAATCAAAGAAAAGGTCCATCAATTTTTATATCTATAGAAATCGAACTCAGAGTTTACAACAATTCACATATCTGCTCAACTAAACGAGTTAGAACCCTCAATAGAAAGAGTTGATTTAAGTCTCTTAATAACAACTCATTATGAAGAATGAGAAATATCATTCATTAATGATTAATCAAACTCAACCACTAAATTTCCATTTGCTAGACCTCAACACAACACATTATAGGGTGAAAGTTCATTATATAGAACAGTATCTTTTAGCTTGGAGTTTTACTCCAAAGCAAATACCTGAAAATATCCCATGCACTATTTAAATCAGGATCGAGTGGAGGAAACTCATTTTTGGAGAGGAGGTTGCGATATACCGGACCTACAGATAGCTCACCATTAGTACCTTCTCTTCCTTCCTCAACCTTAGCTGCAAAACTCTTCATCCTTCTGGATTATTACTCTCTGAAACCTGAGCAAGCACTTGTAAGAAGAACACCAACTCCATCCATGCTGTTGTTTTAAAACAGTAACCCGATGTTTCTCTTTTAAAATTCCAAAATTAATAGTGACAAAAATAGAGCATGACGTGAAAGATAATGTGGCAAACTGGCAATATGACATGACACACCAGCAACTTGCGCCTATGAGCAACTCCAATGGGAGTTGCTTGTCCTATGAAACAACTCAAATCCCGGTTTTTTGTTATTGGAGAATTCTGACGTGGCAACATGAGTTGCTTGAAGAAGAGAGAGAGTTGCTTCTTCAAGCAACCGTTCCTTACCAGATTTTAAGCAGATCTTATTGAACATATTTGGAAACGTTTCGAAAATAATAATGATAAAAATTAATTTCGTATAATATTTATGTATTTATTATTACTTTATTTTATTTTTAATATTTACTTATTGTGTATTTTTTCTCATAATTTATTTTCTTTCATTATAGCGTAATTATCTTTTTTAATAAAAATTTAAATTTGGTTCATAAATAATTAGAAAAAAATTCTAAAAGTTGAATTTCTTAAAGTTTCTTACCGAAGTAAATTTGTGTTTGAGTTGCTTAATGCTGATATGGCACACTAGGGATCACTTTTTTCATTTTTCAATACATGAAGCAACTCAAATGAGTTGCTTCAATTGGAGATGTCTAAGCAAATAGATTTACCGTTTGCGTGTATATTAAAACCAGTGCGGGAACGTGGAACCCGGGTTCCAAGTGGCAACGGATTTTGTTGAACCATTTGCACAATACACATTGAATTCCATTTATTACCTTCATGGCTCCATTGCTTTGTCTTGTCTTTTTGGGCTAAATGAAATGTAAGAATAATCTCTTGTACTTCTCTTGGTAGTTTGTTTTCTCACGTAAACTTCATCTTTCATCTATTTTTTTTCTCCTCCCCAAAATCGTTTTAAAAAAATATAATCTTATTTAATACTACCACATCCTTCATTTAATTTCTACAAAAATTTATGACAATTTTAATATCCAAAAATCTATATTTATACTTTTTTCGTTCTATAATAAATAGGGTATTTAAAGAAAAAAAAAAGCTTTAAAATAAAGATTATATTAGTTTAACAATGTAGTATTAATTATTTCTTTTTTATTTATCTTCATAATATTCTTTAGGAAGTGGTTTTTTGTTGCATCTAATCATAAAGTTAATTTTATAAAATTATTATTTTTATTTATTTATTAATTTTTCTTGGTGGATGTTATTATGATATTCGATGAGGTTAAACTTGAGATTTTTTTAAAAAAAAATCTCAAATAAAGTTCCCAAAAAATGAAACATATAATAAACAACATATCATATTTAATATATATTTTTTTCAAACATACTTTGGAGCCTAGCTAGAGATGAAGTTAGAGTGGGCTGGATCCAAGGAATAAGCCCAGAGTCATAGTGAGTTGGGCTATTAGGGGGGAACCTGTGAGGTGCGAGTCTTTGTCCTCCTGCACTCCTGGCCATGGATGCTCTAACTCTAACCCCAATTTCTTCAGCAACCACATTCAGTGGTCAACACCATCGCCACCCACTGAAACGCTCACTTTTCAATTTCGCACCTCCGAAGCAAAACAGAAGCCTCGGAATCCGAATCCGAATCCGATTATCCTCTTCCCCAAACCACAACGAGAACCAGTCTTCTCCCGGATTGTACTCCGCCAAGAAATTCGACCTGACGGCGTCAAACGTTGACCTGGTTCTGGACGACGTTCGGCCCTACCTGATCGCCGACGGAGGCAACGTGGACGTTGTCTCGGTGGAAGACGGCGTGGTATCTCTCCGTCTGGAAGGAGCGTGTGAGAGCTGCCCCAGCTCCACCACGACCATGAAGATGGGAATCGAGCGCGTTCTCAAGGAAAAATTTGGAGACGCCGTTAAGGATATTCAGCAAGTCTACGATTACAACCAACCGAGGGAGACAACGCCCCAGGTTACTTTTATTTCTTCACAAATTAGTTAGAATTATGAATTAAAATTAAAAATGAAATGAATTTGTGGATATTATTGTGTTGGAATAGGCTGTGAATAATCATCTTGAGATATTGAGAGCGGCCATTAAGAATTACGGTGGCAGCGTGCAAGTGTTATCTGTTGAAGGCGGGGAGTGCCACGTTAAGTACGATGGACCTGACTCCATTGGATCAGGAATCAAAGCAGCCATCAAGGAGAAGTTTCCAGATATTGTCAATGTTACCTTCATCACATAGCATAGCAACAACCCCATTCTTTAGTTGGATATGTTTTTTACTGTTTCTATATTTGGAGTCCAAACTTTCTCTGCCGCTCAATGTACTCTCGTTTCTTCTTTTCATTGGAATAGTAAATGTAAATTCATTGAATTATGATTAGCTTTCAATCAATATATATTTTAATAAATTATATTTTTAGTTATTTATCTTATTTTTTAAATTTATTTTTGTATTTTTTCTTTTGAAATATTTATTTTACTTTTTTTATCCCATAAACTAGAATTAATTAGACCATTTTAAAATAATAATTATTTTTAATTTTAAGATGCAATTTTAAATTTTTTTTTTATTAATTCAAGATTTAAAACTTATTTTATTAGATTCACACATATAAATATTATTAAATACAACTAAAATTTGAATAAAAAATATTATAAATATGATAAAAATTATATAAAAATAAATTTTTAATTGTTCATGAGACATTTTTTTTATACAATTTTTATTATATTTATAATCTTTTGAAGTTGAACACTAATTAAATTTTATAATTTTTATATAATTAAATTTAATGTTATAAATTTCACGTCTTTTATTAAATAAAAAATTTAATTTTTATAAGATTAAATTTAATATTATAAATTTTACGTCTTTTATTAAATAAAAAGTATTATTTTTTAAAGAGACAAATTGATCTAAATGTAAAAAATAAATAATTAAAATAATATTTTAATAAACAAATAATTAGAATAAATATAAAAAATAAAATAAAATATGAAAAATATAATTTTATCTTATTTCAATAACTTCTTCCTAAGTATTTATAGGAAAAATAAATAAAAAGAAAAAATAAAATAGGAGATAGGATGATATTCCTTCTCCCAAAGAAGTCTGATTGTTTGAGTTTACTAAAAAAATAATAATTCTTTAACCTTTGTTGCTTCCTGAGTTTACTCAAAGAAATAATAATTCTTTAACCTTTTCGTATTTCACCTAAAAAGCAATATCTAACTAGAGTTTATTTGGATAAATTTTTTAAAAATACTTAAATAAAAATTAAAATAATTTTTTCAGAAGATAAAATTAATTTATAAAAACTTTCTCATACTAACATCTGTAACTTTTTTTTTTACTTATGCATATAATTTTAGTTTATAAAAAAGTTAATTTCTTTTTCTTTTTTTTATCTCCTGTAAATATATATATATTTTTTTAAATTATCCACTGAACGTCAGATACAACTTAATGTAGCTGGGTCTTAGGTAAAGTATGAAAAGGTTAAAGAATTATTATTTGGTTGAGTAAACTCTGGCTTCTTTAAGCAGAGACAGAATCATCTTGTCTTCTATGATATATATATTTCCAGAGTTAGGTAATTATTGATTGCTCAAAAGTCCACTGGGGTTGATGGATGCAAGTCCAATGCCTGAGGATGATAATGGAGGACTCGTTACCATAGTAAGCATTGATGGAGGAGAGATTCGTGGTGTTATTCCAGGGTACATTCTCGCCATATTAGAGGCTGAACTTCAGGTAATAATCTTTTTTGCATTCTTAATTAGAATATAATATAATGTAATGTATGCATAAGCACACAATGCAACCATTGACCCAACTACAGTGTATGAAATTCATTACGAATAAATACTCTCATGGGCAAGTCTAATCTAATACAACGCCATCCACGAAAGATGGTCCTCCTTGTGCTGCCAAAGACTATGAATTCTGTTGCTAAGCGCCACATGCATACATCATGAACTTAGGGAGAATAATTGAATAGAAAGAGAGAGAGAGAAGTAATGTGAAACTAAATGATGCAAGTGAAGGCAACATGAGAGGAATATGTTGAGATGCAAGTAAAGTCTCGCATCATTCAAATAAGAGGATGGACATGAGTTTATTATATACACACAATTGTCTTCATTGGTTGAGAGACCTTTTGAGTGATTTTCAGAAACAAAACCATAAAGGTTGGGTCTAAAGCTGACAATATCTTACCAATATGGAGACATTTATATGTGTGTGATAATTCCTGGTACTCAATAGAATAAGCTAAAAACATCGGTTAACCCACCAACGTAACAGGTTTGTAAGAAATACCCAAATTTGAAAGTCAGATACCCACCAATTACCAAGCCAGTTCGGGTTTCTTATTTAGTTGTTTGTCATAATTCACTTTCATCTCTTCTCTGCTCAGCTTTGATTTCTCTTTATATTATGGCAATTTAGATTGTCTGCGGAGAGAAGGCGTCATGATATAAACTAAGAAATATTCTAAATATGAAAAGGCGTCGTGATATAAAACTAAGAAATATTTTAAATATGAAAAGGCGTCGTGATATAAAACTAAGAAATATTTTAAATATGAAAAGGCGTCGTGATATAAAACTAAGAAATATTTTAAATATGAAAAGGCGTCGTGATATAAAACTAAGAAATATTCTAATATGAAAAGGCGTCATGATATCCAAAAACAAAACCATGACATGAAAGTTGGATTCAAAGCGGACAATATCTTACTAATGTAGAGACATATATATGTGTAATAATCCCTGGTACTCAATAGAATAAGCCAAAAACATTGGTTAACCCACCAACGTAACAAGCTTGCAAGAAATACCCAAATTTGAAAGTCAGGTACCCACCAATTACCAAGCCAGTTCGAGTTTCTTATTTAGTTGTTTGTCATAATTCACTTTCATCTCTTCTCTGCTCAGCTTTATATTATGGCAATTTAGATTGTCTGCAGAGAGAAGATGTTCTTATATAAAACTAAGAAGTATTCCAAATATGAAAAAGGGACAAGTTCATCAATTAGTTACTCCTACCATCGTGTGTATTCCATGACATTGACAAATTTAAATAAAATTAATTTCATTTGGTCTGAATGATCATTTTTATTATAGATATCTTTTTTCATTGAATGTGTATGCGAGAACAACTAAAATTGATTGTCATCGACACACTACTTTTACCACACTTTCTTATTTGTAAAATTTATTGAAACTATAAAACTAAGGAAAAAAAACCATCAAATAAGATGTACGATCACAAAATTGATATTTTCAATAAATTCCATTGCATAAGTGTAGTTAAGAGTGTTTTTAACATTTCTCTCGAGAAACATTTATGAAGACACTTGTTCCATTAGCACCCAATTTCTACATCCCGACATAAGCTTTCAAAGATACCTGGAATTCCAAATCCAAGCTTATATACATGCATATCCAAACAAGAAGCCTTTTCCGTCCCTGGTATCCTTAACAGCATTAACAGCCCAAGATATAAAGTAAAGCTTCTCAGGACATGGTTAAGCTGGGAGATCCGACTCATTCTACGGATCTCAGTTTTCTTTTTACATCGAATATCAAGTGTGGCATTAGCCTAAAACTGCAGACCCAAGTAAATCGAACTACAGTTAGACTAAATACACCACAATCAGAATTTCAGGGTGTTTGAGTTCCCAACCACTTTCCAGAACATTCATACTTTTGATTGAAAGAATTCCACAAATCGAAACACCTTTCCTGGTTTGCACCTGACGGATAACATGCAAAAAATATTCATTAAATACATTGCATTAACAAACATTCTTGTGCTAGTTGTTTTAGTTGAAGAACCAACATTATATTACAGGAGCGCACAAATGGTTTGGACGGATATCAAATTTACAAAGAATGATCAAGTGTGTATCTTCTGTGCAAAATTTAAGCTCTCACCTGAGGAACTAAAGATCTGAGGCCTTTAGTTTTCTAGGTCTTTTATGAGCTGATGGAGCTCCAGGTGCCTGTAAAAAATAAAATTTCAAGACCAGTAATAATGCATTAGGAAAATAGTCCAAAGGTATGTGGGAATCGAACAATGAAGGAGAAAATAATTAGACAAACACTTTGTAGTGTACCTTTCGCTTTTGATCCTTTTTGCCAACCCTTTCAGCTGAAACCACAGTTATATACATAGTTTCAATAATAAATAAATGAAATTCCCATCACTTACAGAAAATTAGGTAGCAGCTGTAAACAATCTATTACCTCCAAAATTGATTGAATCTGGAACAAATGTCCGATCCTGATCCCCACCACGATGTAAAAGCTGTCATTAGTTTCCAAATCACAAATTCATGGTTTGAGTAACAGAATGTAATGCTTGGACAATCACAGGCCAAAAACAATGAAAGCATAGAGAGGAAAATACCAAAATAAAAACTAGATTTCTAACCTTTGGCGTGCCAGGTGTTTCACCATATGACCCATCACGGAAAGAGGAACCTTCGGCCTCTTTATATTGCACCTGAAATAAATATCAAGATAAGTAATTAAATTAAGCAAATTGGGAGAAAGCAAGACAATATCGATGGTGTTACACCAATATATAATAAATATTAGAAAGGCATACAACCCTATGGACATTCTAACTAGTGGAATCTTCAAACTGGTCAGAAAACAAAATTTATAAAATACCCAATAGCAACTATATTTCTCTCAACCCTTATATACCTGTTTCTGAAGATTAAGCCAAGTTAGTATTTCTCTTCTTAATTCAAGATGCTCAGCACAAACAGCTTTTGTAGGAACCCTTGGTTTCAAATTGACCTGGGAACACAGTAGAACCAATTAAAAAGGAAGTGGATCAGAGAGTCAATATTGTTCTTGCGTGATTGTGCAACACACATTTCCATAGATATGCTCAAATATGACATATAACAAACATTTCTGCTCGGATAAAATATGTATATATTGTTGGAGAATTTAAGCTTCAGCAAGCCAAAAACAAGCTGATTTTACCCTTAAATAAGCTCAAGTTTACTTTTATGTTAACATAAAATATAACAAGGCTACTCAAGCAGACATGAGTTGAGCTTAAATATAGCACTCTGAAACTGAAAGTACACAGCTCATTTACAGCCCTACTAAAAAAACCAAACGCAAATTTAATAGTTAAAAAAAGCATATAAAATCATCAGCCCTCCTGAAATGAAGAATGTGAGGGTTTCGTACATCAGCTCTACTAAATACTACCCCTGGCCTTATATAGGACCCTTTTAACCATTTCACAAGAATTAGGGAATTTATATAATTTAGTTAGTGATATAAAGTTTGAAATAATTTGTATTATTTGTTCAGAATTACCCTCTAAATTATTGGGATCCCATTTTCTAATTCCTTTCTATCTAATTAATTAATGCATTTCCACTTTCAACCATTCTCTTATTCTATAAAATGCCAAAGTGAATGAAAGAGGCAGCTCTGACTAGTGATCTTGCCCTATCTTTGTGAGAGTCCAAGAAATTAATTTACTGCAATTATTATTCATAACTAGAAAAAATAGATGAGTAATTAAGAACATTTTCTGTTAAATTTTTTTTAATGCAGTAAATAATTTAGAAGGGGTCCTATGAAAAGGACCAAAGCAAACGTCAAAAACAGTTCTTACAAATTCACCCAAAAAAAGGTTCTTATAAAAAATAAACAATATTTTCCATTTTTTAATCCTTAACAAGTGTTCACTAGTTAACATTTGCCTATATATTGTTAAAAACACAGATAAGTGAATACTAGCAACTGTACCAGGGACAAAAACAAATGAAACATCTAAACTGAATTAAAAGTTCAAGGGAGTAAAGACAAACCCCAAGATCTTGCAAAGTTTGCTCAACCCGTTTGATAGTCCTAAGTCCAGCAGAAGCATTCGCAGCTTGCACCATTTGCTCAAGTGCATATGTTCTCAAATATACACGAAGCTGAAATATTTATCGCTATCAGGCTTTGTTCAGATGCATAAGCATTAAAAAAAAAATTGATATGACCTCTGATAAAAAATAGTTATTTGAAATATTATGATCAATGCAAGTTCAAAATTTTGAATGTCAGTGTCTATGTTAACCTTCCCTATGGGCAGTGCAGAGAATGAGGTTTGGGAATTGGGAAGTGTTAAGAACAGAAGTTTCAATGAAGAAAATGCACAGGACACATCACCGGAAACCTTCCATGTAACTTACCATGCGAAGAGAAGCTAGAGTAGATGCATTATCTGGTAATGCGGTAGGTGTAACCATTGATGGAAGTTGCGCATTTGGTGGAGATACAGTTTCACCAGGGATAGCCCTCTCTGTAGCTTCTGCACCAGGATTAGAAGCAACCAACTGAGACTCTTCAGCAACCTAAAACACAATCAAACATGTTATCTCAATTCTCAATACACACAAAGCTCCAAACATGGCCTCAGGTGAAGACCCCAGTCAATTTCTAGTATACCATGAGTAGAAATACAGGACTTAATACTATCCTACCCCCTATACTATATATCCCATGACCAAGATAACCACTCTCCATTGGCATCCATTTGTGGATAACTTGTGGGGATATAGGACAACTCGGTGGTGATGTTTTTGGTCCCATTCCATTAATAGCAACAACCATACATTAGTTTAGTTAGGGACCCAATACAAATGAATCAGGTCACAACCAGAGGTGGAGCTTATGAGTATACAGCTCTAGTTGCCACCCAGTGCAAATAAAAAGATGCATAGCAGGGAAATTTTGTACAATGCATAAATAGTTAAATACATAAGATAAGACCATTCCACCACTAGTTTAAGTGTGTGGGTAGGAATATAGAATCATGATTAATCAAGAAATCAGAATTAGATAATCTGAAATTTAAACTTGATTATTGATAACAAGTCCTCCCCTCCACAAGTAATGGCAATATAGAAAAGCATCCTTAAAAAAATACCTTGGGAGGAATGCGTGATTCAGCTATTCGTTTTGCTTCAACAAGAACCTGCATAAAACAACAGGAGTAGGTAGCTATATCTTATTTTCTATGACGGTACACTGATTGCAGAAACATTTAAAATACTAATTTAAATCTTAAAAAAAAGATCAAAACCTCTTCATCTCTTCGTTCTTGTTGCCTTGTTTGAGAGAGGACCATGGACAATGCTCGTTTTCGCTCCATTTCTTGTGAAACATTATACGGTTCCTACAATGGGGAAGTAGGACAAGTTACTACTATGACCATGTGGCAATATCCTATGGCAGGTTCAAGTTTTTAGTTTAACTGCACCTTAACAAGAGGATGTGCTGCAACATCCCCAGAAGATGGAGCCCTAGCAATCAATATAGCCCGGGAAACTACAAGGCATGAAATAAAAAAGAATGTTAAAATATATTCTCCATAAAATCAAACTAAAGTATGAAAACAGGAAAAATTTCAGCATATAATAATTTATTGAACAAAAACATACCACTATAATATCTATCTTTCAATTCCTCTACAGTCCGAGATGATGGAAACCTATCAGCTATTACAACAAATCGGAGATCAAATCTCTCACACAAGTCAAATAGTTGATCTGTCTCCTCCTTGGTCCACATCTACATATATAAAAAGCAATGCACTTAACACTTGATAAAGATAGGTGTAAAAATACTGTTAGAATGTAACATTTTCCAACTTCCAATTGTGAAAAGCACACAGGATAGAATTACACAATTGATGTTTAGGGTGAGTAATGTCACACGAAGAAAAGTACAATTTAGTGTAATGCACAAAAGAGGCAGATGCAAAGTTAAGCTATGTTCATAGATAAAGATCCTTCCAAATTGATTGCAAATTTGTCCCTTTGCTTATAGCTATACTGATAATCTATTCTGTTCATCCAAGTTGGAACTGGCTATCATTTATCATGATATAGTGTAATGAAAAATGCAAGAACCCAAATAACCATCCATATAGTTAGCTATTTGGTTCAAAAGAGAGGTTCTTTTGAACAAGAAGACATCAACGTTACAATGATTTGAATTCGGACCCTACTCTTTTTGACATTACCCAATTCAAAAGCTTTAAAATAAATATCGAATGTTTTACCATGATCATTCTACAAAAACCACTATCTCCATCACAAACAGCATTACTTATCCATCTGGGAGGGAATAATTTTTTCTAAACCTCCTACATTAATGCATACATAAGCTCAAGCAAGACCAGGCTCCAAATAAATGTTGTCACAGCAAACCAAAAGGTATCCTCACAAAAGACACCCCTCAGCAAAAGTAAATGATAAATTAGGCCAACACTCAATTGCCAAAATCAAATAAAGTTGCGATTATTATGATTCTGATAATGTATCTCTTATCAAGTTTATAGAATCTCGCTGTTGGCATCAATCCATACCAAAATAAATGTACTCCACACTAAACTTGGGGTTCAAGGATTTAAAATGGAAACCTAGGAACAGAGATATGTAAAACAGAGATAATTGCATTATTTGATAGAGAGAACAAAGATAACTATAACCTCCCTAAACAGAGCAACTGTGCCATAGAGAAAATAATTCCAGCAACTTATTATTGTTAATCTCATTAGGGGTTATCCCTGCCCAAGCTGGAAGCCAAAAGTAATAACAGAACGGAATCCATGAATGCATGCAGCTCATTCCTCCCCAGTAACTACCCCCACAATAGGTGGATTCCACAAGCCAAAACAGGAAGCAAAACAAACCAGCATACATGTATTTTATTTTTGCTTTTCTTTCTTGTTTCTCCTAGCATAAATCCTCCAGGTCCTAAGGCCCATTTGCTTGGCAGTTGTCTCAACATTAATTGTTCTCTATCAACCAATCAATATCTTTAGACAAACTAAATTAATGACTGAAGAAAAAACCTCTTGGATGTAATAGTATAATTTGTTGAGAATAGACCGCACAGGAATAACATGATATCCTTTTCTTCCCAAGAAAAAAAAAACAAAAAAGGCTTTCAACAATATGATTTTTATAATCTCCAACATGCTAACAAACAATTTAGCACTTATAATTGTGCATACACAAAAATATCTTTTAGTACTACTCTTGCAATAGAAGTCAGTCGAGACCCAACAATCACAACTTGATACAGTGAATAAAATTCAGTAT